GCGGGGCGGTGACAGTCCCTCTGTCCCCTGGCCTTGCACTGCTGGTTTTTTAATCCTCTGTCAATTGTTTCTTCATTGCCCTCTCAGGAATCACCTTCCCACTGCTGCTTCATCCCACTGTGTCCTTTCTTTTCTGTTCCCCAGCTTTTAACGTTTCTGCTCAGACAGTGACAGAGAGCAGCCCCAAACCTGTTCCTGCCGGGAGGGGCGCGGGCTGTGCCCACGGAGGAATGGCTGCCGCCTGCGGTTCTAATCTCGCTTTCACGCCACGGTGGGGTCTGACTTCCCCGGGGCTGACACTCTGGGCCCAGAGACCTCAGCTCCCTGCTGCCTGGAATTTATGATATTTCAAAACCTCAAATTAGGCGTCACACACAGCAACTTTGAGCCCCATTTAGCTGTTCTCTAGGATCAATTTTCTGAAATGATGGCATAATAATGGGTTTTAACTGCCTGTCACTTTCGTGCAGAACAAAGGAAGTAATTTGATTTGAGCCCGGCCCCAAGAAGCCGGAGGACAATGGTCCCTGCCTGAATGAAATGGCAGAGGCAGGGCTGAAATCCCTTCCCCGGGGTCGGCATGGAGAGGGCAGGTGACCCGGCTGAGTCACCCTGGGCTGGAGGGACAAAGGGAGAGCTACACTGTGGTTTCCTCTGGACTCAGGGAGGCCGTGGAGGGCTTAGGGCCTTTGTGCTGGCCCCCGTCCCCACAGGGGCTGACAGGCAGGGTCCCGTCTGCTCCTCCGCTCTCAGAAAACAGATGTGTGTTGAGCAAACGTGTGACTGTTGGGAGCCACCGTTCATGCGGCTGGTCTCTGCTCTCAGGGGGCTGCGCTTTAAGGAGGATGCGGCCCTGCCTATGGAGTCTGGGTGATGGAGCCCAGAGGTTTGGGAGACAAGACCCGGGTCCCTAGGAGCGCGGACCTCCCCAGGGAGGCGCAGGTCTGCACGCAGCGGCAGAAGCACCCAGACCGGCCAGAGCCTCGCCTGGTGGCCTGAGACGCCAGCGGCCGGTCTGAGAGGCTCTGCTGGTCCACCTGGCACAACAGTCGGCAGGGAGGCCGTGCCAGGGCATCTCCCGGGCCTGCAAGGTCACGCTCGGTCACAGCAGCAGCGTTCAGGGGTGTGCTCGGGAAAGGGCTCCGGTAGCCCGCGGAGGAGGCATCCAGAATTAGGGAAATTGGAGGCAGGCCCAGGCGGGAGGCAGTGGGGACAGGGCAAGACAGGGGGGCCCAGGGCGCGGGTGGATGCGGCCTGGGTGGAAGCTGAAACGGAGGCCTGGGGGTGGGGGGGAGGGTGGGGGGACGAGCGTTAAGCAGCCAACTCATCGCTGGGCAGGGACGGGTGGGAGGAAGGACAGGCGGTGGTAGGTCAGTGTGTCTGCTTGCTCCGGGCCCGAGTGCCACCCCACAGCCTGTTCCGAACATGGGCCCCCGGGATCTGCATTTTGACAAGCTCCCTGGGGGACTGATGCCGCAGAACCCTGGCCCACGCTCTGAGAAACCCCAGAGGAAAAGGGTCCATTCCTCCTGCCTTCCAGGGGTGGCAGGCGACCAGCCGGGGAATCCGTCCTTGTCCTGTGATTTGACGCCATCTTGATGCCACCACTTGTCAGACCAGCCGTTTAATTCCTCTGGGCCTCAGTTTCCTCCTCTGAAAAAGGGAGAGAGAATAGCACCTCCCTCCTGTGATGACTGGGAGGTTGATTAATACTTTACAGCCCTTCATATAGGCCTGACTCGGGACAGTTCGACCTTTGCACGCACCCCAGCTTCCTTCCTGGGGAGGAGCGTTAAGGATAAAGGGTGCAGCCAGCATCTCCAGTTGCAAGCTGTGTGCTCATGAACGCCGTCCGCTCATTCAGTGAGCACCCTTGAGCTCCTGTCTGCGCCGGGTGCCGGGCTGTGTGCCTGGGACCCAGGGGAACAGGGCCCCTCCCTGCACCCTCCCCCACCCAGTAGAAGGGCCCCTTGACATGGGACAGGGATTATAATGGAGGGCAGTGTGGACACCGCGAGCGGGAGAGGCCCCAGGAGGAGTTAGTTTCTTTCTGACACAGGAGGAGGATCGGGGGCTCCCTGGAGGAGGCGGCATTTGAACTATGCATAGTCTGTTGGGAATGCGAAGCAGGAGGTCGCACCTAAGAGTGCAGCCCAGCAGCCAGACCACCTGCGAGGGTTTGACGCTTGAGTGTGTGTCCTTGGCTCTCCCCTCACGCTTTCTGACCTGGGGGTCCCCAAGATCGATGGAACAGGACGGTTAAGAGCCCAGGCTCTGGGACCAGCCTGGGCTGGCCCCTCACTGGCTGGATGAGTAACCTTGGCCAGGACTTGATTTCCTCGTGCCTGAGTTTCTTCATCTGTAAAAGGGGAATGGGACCGTCTCTGCCTCAGGGTGGGCAGGAGGGCAGCAAGGGTTCATTCCTGTGACCTTCTTGCCCAGCACGATGCCACCCTCACTCACCAAATGGTGCAGAAGCAAAGAATGCATTTGTGCCATCGGCGTCTCAGGGCTGCTTGGCCCTGACGTTATGGTTTTCCTCCCTGCCTGCAGCCGCCACCTTCATGGAGCACTGGAAGCGGAAACAGATGCGTCTCAACTACCGCTGGGACCTCACGGGCTTCGAGGAGGAGGAGGTGAGTGCGGGGCACTGCGTCCTCCCCTGCCCCCACCCATTACCTCCTGGGGACGCTCCTGGAAGCCTGAGGCCCTGGGGCCCAGGCAAGGCTGCCCCCGCCTGCTTCTCAGTTCACATCCCTGGTGTTTGAATCACCCGCGGTTGCCAGGGCGACGGTTTGATGTCTGTCGAGTGTTTCTGATCTCCATGCTCACATGGACGCACCGCCCACCAGTGCGGTCAGGGACAGCTCACCACGCTGACCTCATCGAATCCGGGGGAGGCCGGGCGAGTCTGGGAGGGAATCACCACCGCCCAGGAGGTCGAGTCCCCAAAAGCGGCTGTGAGTCTTTGCCCCGGTGCCAAAGCCACGCTCCTCAGTGCCAGTCGTTGGGCGTGACTGAGAGGTGGGAGCTGAGCCTTTCCCAATAGAGGGAAAACCAGACGCCCGCATCCCCGCTTTCCCCAGACGGCCCAGGGGCCACTGGGACGGCGGAGGACACTCCCAGAGGTTCCTCGGAGAAGCCTGGCCGCTGCCCTCCGAATGGGCAGCTCCCGCCGGAGTCCCCACGGGAAGAGTGGGGAAGACAAGGAAAAGCAGTCCCCACAGCCTGCCGCCCACAGAGCAGAGCTGTAAGGTGTGGCCACACTGGTCGTCACTTAATTTTTCTTTTTAATATATATTTTATTGATTTTTCACAGAGAGAAAGGGAGAGGGATAGAGAGTCAGAAACATCGATGAGAGAGAAACATCGATCAGCCGCCTCTGGCACACCTCCCACTGGGGATGTGCCCGCAACCAAGGTACATGCCCTTGACCAAAATCGAACCCGGGACCCCTCAGTCTGTAGGCCGACGCTCTATCCACTGAGCCAAACCGGTCACAGCAGCCACTTAATTTTATAAGACGCCGAGCTTGTCTTTTAAAAGCGAGCTCTCATGCATGTTCACTGGATGTGGAATCTCCCCCGTCGTTTTTTAGCATTCCATCGTTCTCCCCACACATGCTCCCTCCTGACACGGAGTCTGCCCGCCAGTCTTCAGCCGAACCTACTGCAGTCCGGGAAACTGGTGGGCGGGCTCCGTGCTCCCAGTGCTGCTGGCGGCCGAGGGGACTGGGGTCTGCGGGGAGAGGCACCACAGGGCTTCCATCCTGGTTTGGCACTGCCCTTGCTGTGTGCCCGAGGCCAAGTTGCCTAACCTCTCTGTGCCTCAGTGTCCTCCCTTCTTAAATACGGATTGTGCACTAGTTCTCACTCTAGAGGGTTTGAGGGGGTCTCAGTGGATAAGAGGCACTTAGGGCAGGGAGGGTCCCGGACCAGTAAGTGCCCCAGGACCAGTCACCCGCTAGCCACCTCTGAGCTCAACCCTCTTATCCAGGGGGCCCCATTATCCCGTCTCACACATGGCGACGCCAAAACAGGTGCAGCCTGTTCACCGATAGGCAGCCCTTCAGGGGTGAGCCAGGCACGGAACCTCCCCCTGGGCAGGTTCTTTCCTTGTTACTCTTTCAATTAGGAAGATGCAAGCACAACACAAAGCAATCGCCGTCTTATTTTAGGAGAAGATTGAGAATGTCCTTTGCATGATGTCCCTCTGGTTGGGGAGAGTTGGGTAGGGGGCCAGTCCTGTGTGTTCAGCCCCTCGGGGATCCATCCCATGATCTCTTCACCTGCCCCCCCACCCCCGGCTCTTGACTTGGGGGTGGCAGTCGGAGCCCTTGGGCAGGAGGCCCCAAGGGACTGAATGAGGTCCCCAAGGTGAGTCTCCCCATCACCTTCCTCCCCCCATAGCTGACCAGGGACCCTTTGGGAGTGAATCTGAGGGGTAAAGGCAGCCTCTCCGTGCAGTCTGAGCTCCCGGTGTTGGCCCTGGGAGCAGAAGGAGCCCGTGTGTCCCTTAGCTGAGACCGACACAGTCCAGCACCCGCCTGGGAATTCCCAAAATCGCTCAAGCTGCAAAAGCAACAGCACGCACGGTCACCCTAAAGCAACGACGGCCGCTAGCGGGTCTCGGCCCCCAGGTGCTCCTTGTCCACCCGTGTCCTTCACCCTCATCCCAGCCCTTAAGAAAATTGTCGTTAGTTTAGAGGACGTGGCCTATTTCTTTAAAAATAACACAAGTAATGGAGTCTTTTCTGTTTGTTTTCATGTGTATGTTTCTGGTTCCCTGAAGGAGGCCGTCAAGGTTTGGAACTTTTTGTCACTCCTCTGTCTCCCCATAGCCTGTCTCCCGGGAAGAGGGATCTTCTCACGCCTCATCTGTCTCTTTCTACCATCAGGCCTCCGCAGCTCCTCCACCGCGGGTGGGGCCTCCGCTTCTCCCCACCTTCGGGTCTCTCTTAACCCCGTTCTTCCGTTCCAGTGCCCTCTGCTGACCTGCTCCGGGCTCCCCCGAGGCCTGGCGCCTCCGGTCTGCCCGCGCTTGCTGGCACTTACTGCGTCTCTCCTGACCCCAGTAGATGTTCTTGGGGCCAATTCACAGCTGGGTGTTCAAAAGGGGGCCACTGGGCACTGATTCGCTGCCAGCAGCACCCAGAGCCAGGTTCTCTGGCCTTCCCCACGGGCTGGGTTCCCCACAAGGGGTAGATCCCGGACGGACTGCGTATGGCACGTTCTGAATGGGAAATGGTACAAAACAGCCAGCTGTGAATTGGCCCCAAAGGGTGCCCAGCGCGAATGGGTGGACTGGATTTGGCATGCGTGCTCAAGGTGAGGATCTCAAACTCACAGTTCACAGGCCAACTTGGTTTCTTCCACAGGACCACCCCAGGGCTGAGTATGAAGCGAGAGTTTTGGAGAAGTCACTTAGGAAAGAATCCAAGAACAAAGAGGTACGTTGGCCACTTCTTCCGGCTTTCCCAGCAATACAACATTGTGTGTTCATCAACAGTGTAGACGGGGGCTCAGAAAACTCTGCATGTTCAACAGTGTAAATCAGAAGCTGGCCCGAGAGGCAGAGAAATATTTAGACTCTGCAAGCCTCTGTCACAACTACTCAATTCTGCCACTATGGCTTGAAAGCAGCCATAGACAGCAGGTAAACAAATGGGCCTGGCCCATTTGTTCCAATAAAACTTTATTTATAAAAACAAGTGGGGGGTGGCCAGATTTGGCTGCAGGCTGTAGTTTGTCAAACCTGCTACAGCTCTACCATCTTGATCTATCCTGAGCGTGACCTCAAACTTCAGCCAGCATTTTAACATCAAGGGCCAGGTAGCTTTGCAGCTTTTTCGCAGTACACTTGACATTCATTGTGTCCACCTCACTGTGTTCTGGGTTGAAGGATGAAATGGAAGGGCTTGCTCAGCCAGCCATCCCTGAACAAATGGCCAGTTCCTTGTTCCACTCACAGACAATGAGGATGAGAGAGAGAGAGGTGGGTCTTGGTGATGTCCTTGAGGCCATCATCTTCTCATAATACATGCCTTTCTTTCTCCCCAAGCCTGCCATTCGAGTTGGTAGTCTCACGTGTGCAGCCTGAAGGCTCACCAGCTCTGGAGTGTTGGGTTTTTTGCGAGGGAGGTGTTTGTACATGGCCGGGGCCGCGCAGAGCCCTGGGCCCTTGTCAGCCTCTGACCGCGGCCGGGGACCTTCGCATCATGCCTGTGGGACGGGGACAATTGACAGATGCTCGTCCCAGCTCCAGTGTCTGCTGTCCCCTTTGCACACTCAGCCTCTGGAGCTGATCAGGACAGTCCCCCAGTCTTTCCTGGTCGTTGTGTCACACGGGCAGAGTTTTCTGGTTCCGAGAGGCTGGGGATCGCAATCGCCAGCATCCCATCCAGAGGGTAAAGTGGGTGCACCAAAGCCCCCTCTCAGGCCCGTTTCCATGACAGCAGAGTCCAGCTTAGTCCTCTTGTAGTCCCAAAGAGGGTGCACTCTTTGAACACACTCTTACAGTCTGAGCGGGACTCGGGGTGCAAAAATATAACCACAAAAGCATGAGCCATCACCCCAGATCGGGAGATTGTCTTCAGTTGGACCGATCAGAAGGTGTGACACCCCCATGCACGGTGCCTTCTGAGCAGCGACCTGTGGCCTTGAGCGGCTCCTCTTCCCCTCCTGGGCCTCGGTTTCCCCTCCTAAAGGGAGAGGCGTGGTGCCAATGAGCTCAGTGCGGCATCTCGGCCGCGGTGGCCCAGGACAGTCCATCCCATGGCTTCACAGTGGCACCTCTGAGCGTGAGCAAGGGTGGGTGTTGCATTCCCTCCTAAGGGGGAAAAGGGCTTTGAGGCACATGTCATGTCTGCGTAAGTCCAGGGACTTAACCAACCCCAACAGTAGGCCTGGGGGGTGTCAGGAGTGCCCCTCAGACCCCAGTCACTCACCCTCTGGGCTTTGACCAGAGATCTCAGATCACATGAGAACAAGGTATGGGGTGATTTCTGCAGGCTGTTGGGGGACCCCAAGCCCTGTTTGCCCCTGGGGGGGGGAGCACACCCTTTATTTTCTCCTCCGTTTCATTGGCTCCCAGCGGCTCCTTTATGATTTTCGTTTCCCCCACAGCTGAGGCTCCAGATTCACTTTGGAAAACACAATCCACCCCTTAATGGGTATAGTAACTTACAACTCTGGGCGTGGCCTCCTTTATGTTGGCATCGGACGCTCAGCACACACGGCATCTTTGCATAAGCAAACCCCGTAGGTCACAGCAGCCGGTTGGCGAGTCGGGCATTACCGAGCCCCGCGGGCTTCCGTGCTGGGGTCTCGGTCTGAAGCCTGGCCTGCGCTCTCCTCCCCCCTGGTCTCAGTCTTGCTGTTAGGACGGGGTCCCTGTCAGCTCCTGTGGTCTGCAACGCCCAGAACCTGGACCAGCCTCGACGGCAAGCACACCATGGGGGTGACGGGGGCCTGGGCCAAGGTCACACCTCACCCCGTGGTGCTCTCTTGTTCCCTCCCCCCTCCCCTTAGAAGCACCGGAATATTCCAGAAGAGTCAACAAACAAATGGAAGCAGAGGGTTAAGACAGCCATGGCGGGGGTGAAATTGGTACTTTTCTGTGTCGGGGCGATGCGAGTCGTGACTGTTTGCGACGACCAAAGTCCATTGCGTCCTCCTCAACCAACTCTGACTTCCGTGTTGGTTTTGTCTTTTTCTTAACATTCACATCCGTGCTTCCTCGCCTCCTGCCACCCCCAGCGAGCTGTGACGTGTGTGGAGGTGTCACTGCATGGCTACGGAGGACTGGGGGGTGCGGGGGGAGACCTGTGATCTGTGCTTGTCACCACTGCCTGCCAGCGGTCTCGTCTTCTCGTTAACACGCATGTCACCCGCCCCGGAGCGAGGGCCTCCCTCCCGGGTCCTGTCCGCGGCAGCATTCCTTGTTCGAACACTTGCGCTTCCCGTTTAAAAGCCCACCCCGGTTCTTGAAACATCCCAGGTTGGTGACAGGCTTCCACCTCGGGCTCCTCCCCACCCAGAGAGCCTCCAGGCGCCTGTCGCCAAGTGTCGCTACGGTCCGCTGCGGCTACGCGGCAAGCAGCATTGGAACGTGTGCGGGCTGCCTGTTTCGACTTGCTCTGCAAAGGAAAATAACTATTATGGTCTGGGCGGCGGAGGGCAGAGCACCTTAGATCTTCTCGCCCCAGACGTGAGACCTTCCGCCAAAGAAATGGGGTCCAGACACACTTCTCCCCGACGAGGGTCTGACACTCTTGTCATTACTGCTGTTGTCATCACACAGAGGAAGCCCATGTTAAACGAGTTCCCTCTGTCATGACGTGACATCATTTCCTAGGCCACGGGACCCCAGCTGTTTCTGTGAACACTAGACGTTTGCATCCACTCGAACTGTAAATGTTTTTTTTTAAGGTGTTTCTAAGTGTTTCTGTCGTCCGAGTTCACGCACACACACGCGCACACACACATGCACATATGTGCACACATGCACACATACACAACGCACGCCTCCCCGCCCGGGTGGTTCCCACCGGTGACCCGCGTTCTTCCATGTTGCAGACTGACAAGGTGAAGCTGACCTGGAGAGACCGGTTCCCCGCCTACTTCACCAACTTGATGTCCATCGTCTTCATGGTAAGTTCCGGAAGGCTGAGGCGGGAGGACGCCGGGGAGCCCACACCCGGGCCGGGGTCAGCCGTCACTGTGGCAGGTGTATGCTCGTGGGATGGTGCCCCTGGAATGGGAAGGAGCAAGGTTCCCCGTGGTCCCCAGGGGCGCTCTGCGTGCCTGGGGTCGGTGAGAGAATTTCCCAGAGTCCCCGATGCACATCTCTCATTGTGACAGCCAGACCCAGATCTCACAGATATTATTTAAGACAAAGCTGAGGTTTTATTTTTTTTTAATTTATCTTTATTGTTGAAAGTATTACAGAGGTCCCCTCCTTCCCCCCACCTCTCCCCAGGCCTTGTTAATTAACTCACCCCTAATGCCTTGACAGGGCCGGATGTTCCCCACCCCTGTCCTAAACAAATCCCCTCCTTCCCCCCACCTCTCCCCAGGCCTTGACCCCACTGTTGTCTGTGTCCATGGTTATGCGTATGTGTATGTAAGTTCTTTGGTTAATCTTTTCTTGCCTTCCCCCACCCCCCCGCCCACCGCCTTTCCTCTGAGATTCATCAGTCTCTCCCATGCTTCTATGTCTCGGGGTCTATTTTGTTCGTCAGTTTGTTTGGTTCATTAGATTCCACATGTGAGTGAGATCATGTGATGCTTGTCTTTCTCTGACTGGCTTATTTCACTTAACGTGACACTCTCCAGGTCCCTCCGTGCTGTCTCAAAGGGTAAGAGGTCCTTCTCTTTTACTGCTGCACAGTCTTCCATGGAGTAAACGTACCACCGCTTTTTTATCCATTCCTCTACTGATGGGCACTCGGGCTGTTTCCAGATCTTAGCTATTGTATATTGTGCTGCTATGAACATAGGGGTGCATGCCTTCTTTCTGATTGGTGTTTCGGGGCTCTTAGGACATCGTGTTAGAAGCGGGGTTGCTGGGTCAAAAGGCAGTTGCATTTTTAATTTTTTGAGGAAACTCCACACTGTTTTCCGCAGTGGCTGCGCCAGTCTGCATCCCCACCAGCAGTGCACTGGGGTTCCCTTTTGTCCACATCCTCGCCAGCACTTGTTGCTTGTTGAGCTAATGATGGTAGCCATTCTGGCAGGTGGGAGGTGGTACCTCATTGTCCTTCTAATTGGAAGGTTTTTAAAGGAAGAGATTAAATAAGCACAGACAGGACAGAAGTCAGGGTGATACAACTCAGGGTGACGGGGGGCTGTGACAGGCTGGGGGGCCCGAATGACTCGGCCACACCTGAGCTCTCTGAGGGGGTTTCCCCCACACGGATGGGGCTCCCCCAGCCGGCCGTGCTTTCATCCTTCCCCAAGAGGTCAGGCCACCTGTGGTCACTGAAGGAACGGCTGTCCCCTTGTCCAGCCCCCACCCCGTGACCTGGCTCCCAGGGGGCCCGGGTTCGAGGGCTGAGCCTGAGCCCAGGTGGCCGGAGCGCCTAACAGGGAGCATCTCCTTCGGGCCTCACCACCTGCCTGTCCTGAGGCCACCCCTGCAGCTGGTGAGGAAACTGAGGCCTGGAGGCCAGTCCCTCTCCCAGGTCTCCAGCCAGCAGGTGACAGGGCCGCACGCCACTCGGCCCGCCTGCCCCAGGAGCCCGCTGTTCCTATGAACTTGGGGGCCAGAGGCTTGTCTTGGTTTTCCAGGTTGGGGAAAGGGCAGGGCAGAGTGAGGACTCAGTTTCCCCACCTGCTATTACACACGCTACAGGGGACTCTCGGCTAATGGAAGGAAATCCCAGGAGCCAACTCGATGGGGCTGGGGGCTGTTGTGCCATCCAGGGGACTCTGAGCAGGCCAGTCTGGTCTTGAGGGCCCTGGAGCACATGCCCCAAAGGCATGTGAGTGTCCCCTCTGGGCAAACATTGGGCTTAGTGCTGGGGGTCACCTAAGGATGATGGGGTCCCTACCCAGAGCCTCCCTGGGGCTCACAGCACAGGGGTCGGGATGCAGAAGCAGGAGACTGAGGCACCTGGCGGAGAAGCCGCAATGTCCTTGCGGAAGGACCAGCAAGAGCAGGGTGGTGGGGGCGGGGGGGGCTGGCTGGGCCCTCTACACCCCAGCAAGGAGGCCTTGGCTACATGTCACTTCCTGGATGGTCTTTCAGGACGTTTAGGCTCCTCGTAACCAAAAGTGAGGAGGTGGCTGTGCAGGGCTCGTCTGGCAGCTCCACAATGCCGCCAGACACTGACCTCTGTGCCTCCCTCTCACCCAGCCTGTGCCTCCTCTTAGTCACAACGCGGCTGCTCCAGCCCCGGCATCACCTCCACCCTCCAGGCGGGAGGAAGGGGTGGGGCCAAGGGGAAGGAGACCAAGCCGGTGGAGGCAGCCCCTCTTTGAAGGTGCTTTCCAGAGGCCTGCCCACAACCTCTGCTTGCATCTCACTGGTCAGACCACTTCACGTGGGCCCCCCTATCTGCAGGGAAATGGGGACATGGGCGCACTGTCACTCCCAGCAAAGGCAGGCTGGTGGGTAGGGAAGGAGCGGGCCCTTGAGGTACTGGCGACCCCGTCAAATGAATCAGCAAGTTTTGTCCCGCCCACAGGAGCTCCATTCACTGAACAAATGTGGGTTGAGCACCTACGATGTGCCCGTGTTCCTGGTGTAGGAGACACCGGAGTGGCCGCACCAGCCAGCCCCACGCCCCGGCGCCCTGTCCTTCCGGGGGAACTGTACCCAGGAAGGAGGCTGCACGGGGCTTGCCTGTCATGGGGACGTGCCAGCCCTCTGGCTGGGAAAGGGGGGCCCTTGCTGAGTCACCCTGCAGGCCCGGCCGCCTGCCTGCCCCCCCACACACGCGGGCACGAGGGCCAACTCCAGTGCCAGGGCGGTGCCTTCCCCTGGGAGGGGCCCCTTGGCAGGAGCCAGGGATTTTCCGAGGAAAGCCCTTGTTCCCAGAGCCGGCAGGGAGCGGTACCCGCACCTCAAAATGGGGCCACCCCTTCATCAGGGCGCGGTGTGGCCGTGGACATTTCTTGGGCAGGGTGTGGTCACCCTTTAGTCAGCAGCAGAAGCAAAGTCACTGGCCCAAAGTTCAAAATAAGAGCTTTGCTAGGAGACTTCTGATGGCTGCGGTGCCCCGAGGGGTGAACCAAGCTGCAGACGCGCATGGCGCACCCCCTGGCCCCAGGACTGTCCCGGGGCCTCTCGGCACCCTCCTAGCAGAGCTGGGGCCCACCCTCCGCACCCTAATGGGGGTAAATGTGTGAGGATGCGGACACCCAGGAGGGAGTGGGAAGAGGGTGGAGCCTGCGCCCGCAGTGTGTCCTCAGGGCTGGGATTCGCAGGTGTCCTCACCCCTGGGGCGGGACAGGGTCTCCCCGGCTGAGTTAGGGTCTTTGAGGAAAAGGAAACGGAACCCAGACAGACAGACAGACAGCTCCACACGGAACAGCCTTGTCATCCCAGCCAGCCGTCCCCCCGCCCCCATCTCCCAGGCAACCTCCAGCCCGAGTTGTGTGGGACGTTCCAGTCCAACTGTGGGGTGTGGCAAGAAGAGGGGCTCGCTCTTGGGGACAAGCCCGAGGGTGTGGGTGAACCAAGGAGGTTGAGAGAAGGGACCCGATCTGACTGTCCAGCCAGGCCTGCAGCAGCGCCCACCCCAGATCGGACCGCCCACACACCACCCGCCTCCTTTAAACATCGATCCACCCGAGTGTCTCTGCTTCTGCTCCTCACCAGGTTGCGGGGAGGAGCCCCTGCCCGGTGGTCAGCCTGGTGAACCCCACTTGTGTGCTGGGTGACCTGGCCTGGTGGCCGGACCGCTCAGTCTCTTCTGGACAACAGAAACCAGTCCTTTGTTCGTGTCTGTGGACTTAATGCCATAGAGCCCCTGGCATGTGTGGGTGACAGGGTGGAGGGAGGGCTGGCCGGGGAGCACAGGGGGAGGTCCGGGAGACCCAGGTGGCCCAGCCAAGGTGTCCCTCCTCCTCTGCAGATCGCGGTCACCTTCGCCATCGTCCTTGGCGTCATCATCTACAGAATCTCCACCGCCGCCGCCTTAGCCATGAACTCCTCCCCCTCCGTGCGGTCCAACATTCGGGTCACAGTCACGGCCACTGCCGTCATCATCAACCTGGTGGTCATCATCCTGCTGGACGAGGTCTACGGCTGCGTAGCCCGGTGGCTCACCAAGATTGGTGAGCGCCCGTGTCCGGGACCGCGGCCCGGCCCGCCCTGGAGCCAGGCAGCCCCTCCTGCCCTGTGGCCTCGGGCGGGTCACTTCCCTCCTCCCCGTCCCCTGAGAGCCGCGTGGAGCGGTCAGCCGGCCACTCAGCAGCCTGCGTCTCGCTCCCTCCAG